ATTTGGGAATTTTTGGCTATTATTTCTTCAAAAAAATTTTTTTTCTTTTTTTTTTTTTTTTTTTTTTTTTTTGCTTCTCTCTCTCTCTTCTATTCTTCTGGGAATTTCATCACATATATATTGGTATGTTTAATATTGGCCTAAAGGTATCTGAGACTCATTTCAATTTTCTCCAATGTTTTTTCTCTTTTCTTCATATTGGATAATTTCTATTCATCTATCTTCAAGTTTACTGACACTTTCTTCTGCTAGCTCAAGTCTGCTGTTGAGTCCTTCTAATGAGTTTTATTTAAACATTTTTTGCAGGGGCACCTGGGTGTCTCAGTCGGTTGAGTGTCCGACTTCAGCTCAGGTCATGATCTCATGGTTTGTGGGTTTGAGCCTTGTGTCGGGCTCTGTGCTGACAGCTCAGAGCCTGGAGCCTGCTTCGGATTCTGTCTCCTTCTCTCTCTGCCCCTCCCCAACTTGTGCTCTGTCTCTCAAAAATAAATAAATGTAAAAAAAAATTAAAATTTTTTAAATGTTTATTTTTTTAATTTTTTTTAATGTTTATTTTTGAGAGAGAGAGACAGAGTGTGAGCAGGGGAGGTGCAGAGAGAGAAGGAGACACAGAATCTGAAGCAGGCTCCTGGCTCTGAGCTGTCACACAGAGCCCAATGCGGGGCTTGAACTCATGGACCGTGAGATCATGACCTGAGCTGAAGTTGGACACTCAACTGACTGAGCCACCCAGGCGTGCCTGATGTTTATTTTTGAGACAGAGAGAGAGAGAGAGAGAGAGAGAGAGAGAGAGAGAGTGAGCACAAGTGGGGGAGGGGAAGAGAAAGAGAGAGACACAGAATCTGAAGCAGGCACCAGGCTCTGAGTTGTCAGCACAGATCCTGATGCGGGGCTCAAACCCATGAACCGCAAGATCATGACCTGAGCTGAAGTAGGACATTTAACCGACTGAGCAACCCAGGCACCCCCCTTCTAATGAATTTTAAAATTTCAGTTATTTCATTTTCCATCTTCAGAATTTTCATCCAGTTTTTTTATGTTTTCTGCCACTACATTGAGATTCTTCATCCACTAAGTCATCAGTCACACTTTCCTTTATGTCTTTAAAAATGACTTTCTTTAGTTCTTTGAATATATTCATAATAGCTGCTTTGAAGTCTTTATCTGCTAAATTCAACATCTAGCAATGCTCAGAGATAGCTTCTATTGGCTATTTTTTTTTCCCTTAAGCATGAGTCACATTTTCTTCTTTCGTGGCACGCCTTGAAATTTTTTATTGAACCCTTTCACGAAGATGGCGCCGAAGGTGAAGAAGGAAGCCCCTGCCCCTCCCAAAGCCAAAGCCAAAGCCAAAGCAAAGGCTTTGAAGTCCAAGAAAGCAGTGCTGAAAGGCATCCACAGTTATAAAAAAAAGATCCGCACGTCACCTACATTCCGATGGCCCAAGATACTGTGTCTGAAGGCAGCCCAAATATCCTTGAAAGAGCACCCCCAGGAGAAACAAGCTTGACCACTGTGCCATCATCAAGTTCCCCCTGACTACCAAGTCAGCCATGAAGAAAATAGAAGACAACAACACTCTTGTGTTCATTGTGGATGTCAAGGCCAACATGCACCAGATCAAACAGGCTGTGAAGAAGCTCTATGACATTGACGTGGCCAAGGTCAACACTCTGATCAGGCCCGGTGGAGAAAAGAAAGCATATGTTCGACTGGCTCTTGACTATGATGCTTTGGACGTTGCCCACAAAATTGGGATCATCTAAACTGAGTCCAGCTGGCTAACTCTAAATATAAATTTTTTCAACAACAACAAAAAAAAAGAGGAGTGCCTGTGTAGCTCAGTCGGTTGGGTGGCCAACTACATACAGCTCAGGTCATGATCTCGTAGTCTATGAGTTCGAGCCCCGCATCAGGCTCTGTGCTGACAGCTCAGAGCCTGGAGCCTGCTTCCAATTCTGTGTCTCCCTCTCTCTCTGCCCCTTCCCTGCTTGCTCTCTCTCTCTCTCTCTCTCAAAAATAATAAACATTAGGGGCGCCTGGGTGGCTCAGTCGGTTAAGCGGATGACTTCGGCTCAGGTCATGATCTCGCGGTCCGTGAGTACGAGCCCCGCGTCAGGCTCTGTGCTGACAGCTCAGAGCCTGGAGCCTGTTTCAGATTCTGTGTCTCCCTCTCTCTGGCCCTCCCCCATTCATGCTTTGTCTCTCTCTGTCTCAAAAATAAATAAACGCTAAAAAAAAAAAATTAAAAAAAAATAAACATTAAAAAAATTTTAAAAAAATAAAAAGAAAAAAGAAGTTTGTTATTGAGGGGCGCCTGGGTGGCGCAGTAGGTTAAGCGTCCGACTTCAGCCAGGTCACGATCTCGCGGTCCGTGAGTTCGAGCCCCGCGTCGGGCTCTGGGCTGATGGCCCAGAGCCTGGAGCCTGTTTCCGATTCTGTGTCTCCCTCTCTCTCTGCCCCTCCCCTGTTCATGCTCTGTCTCTCTCTGTCCCAAAAATAAATAAACGTTGAAAAAAAAATTTAAAAAAAAAAGTGTTTGCTTTTCCAACATTGTGAAGCCAACATTGTATATGGTGGCTCATTGTAATTTTTCAACATTGTATATGGTGTCTCCCTCTTCCCTTCTACCTCTATTTTCAAAATAGCCAGCTCTCAACTCATTTCTCTCTTACTTTAAGAGAGTTTTTTAAAGTTTATTTCTTTCTCCCTTAACATCTCAGGGGGAGTGTTCCAGGCTGGTGGGCAGTTCTGTTCCATGCGGTCATTCAGGGACCCAAGTCCCTTCCATCTTATGGCTCCACTCTCTCCTCCCCTTCCAGACTTGTCGTGATCTACATGGCTGAGGCTGGTCATTGACATGTCTGGGTTCTAGCCAGTAGGAAAAGAGAAGACAGAATGAGTTAGAGACTCACTCACTGACTTAGGGCCTCCATCCCCAAAGCAGCACCCATTACTTCCACCGGCAAAAATTTAGTCACATGGCCACACCTGATTACAAAGGGGTCAGAGAAATGCTGTCACCACTGGGCAAACATGTGTCTAGTTAATACTTTTTTTGCTGTAGAAGAGAGGAGAATGAGTTTTGGTGGAGAGCTAGCAGATTCTCCTGCAGTGGTGGTCTCATTCCTCTCACTGACAACAGATTTAGGCATCGCATGTGAAATAATTCCGGCCATGAAACATGAGGAATTGTTCATGAGAAGAATTAACCCAGTTGTTAATGGGTAAGTCTTCTTCACTATAAAAAAGGAAACATAGGAAGAGATGGTCCCTTCTTTTTTCCCAGGACATTGTCATGTCAGGATGTGATGTCTGGAATTAGGCATCCATCTTGTGGTCATGAGGGGAGCAGGAGTAAGGTTGATGATTTGAGGCTGGAGGTGTATGTAGGTAGATACATGAGCCCAGGTCCTTAATGATACTACTGGATCTGAGCTGATTGTCCCTGGTGCCACCCTCCTGCTGGACTTCTGTGTGTGACACTGTACAGTCCCTTATGGGTTAAGCTAAAGGAATGGAGGTTTTCTGTTACCTGTTGCCACAAACCTCCGACATTTCATCTGAAGTTGGGCCAGAGCAGAGACTGTGTGGATGGGTTCTGTGTGGCCCCCGGAAGTGTGTTTGATTGGAAGAGTTGGGCAATACCATAAAGCAAAGAGAAGTAGGCTCCTTTGGTGTCACTTCCTAGGTTGTCCTGGCTCTGAGGAAGGAGCATCTCCGGGAACAGGGCCCATCATGCCTGTCTTGGGATGTTTTCACATCCATCAGCTTGTCAGGTTCTCAGAGCTTACTGACAGGCAGGTAAATGTCATCAAGTGGCCACATTTTTTTTTTTAATTTTTTTTCAACGTTTATTTATTTTTGGGACAGAGAGAGACAGAGCATGAATGGGGAAGGGGCAGAGAGAGAGGGAGACACAGAATCGGAAACAGGCTCCAGGCTCTGAGCCATCAGCCCAGAGCCTGACGCGGGACTCGAACTCACGGACCGCGAGATCGTGACCTGGCTGAAGTCGGACGCTTAACCGACTGCGCCACCCAGGCGCCCCCAAGTGGCCACATTTTAAAAGAAGGAAAGGAAGGCTCAGAGCGGTGGTGTGCCTTAGCCAACTCTGCTGACAGGTTAGGGTTGGAACTAGGGACTTGGCCCTGGTTCTCTTGGACTCCCAGTCCAGTGCTCCTGCTAGTGACACCAGGATAGCCTCTGCTAAAATAGTCGGAGGAAAAGCATCACCTGATATTCCATTAATTATTTCATAAATTCGTTGAGGCAGGTAATACTTATACCTTCAGGAAGTTTACAATCCAGTGGGAGAACAGAAACAAATAAATGAACACAGAAAGAAATAGCTACACTCACACAGTGAGAACTATAAAGAGGGAAGAGGATGGGGGGGTGTGGTGGAGACTAATAAGGGGGAGCAGGTCAAGGAAGCTACTCGGCAGAAGTGATGCTTAAGCCGAGAACCAAAGGATAAGTAGGCACTAATTAGCTGGGTGAAAAGGAAGAGGAGGAGGAAGAAGAGCATTGATGGCTCAGGGAAGAGCATGCCCAGAGATGCAGAGGTGGGAGAGTGGGGCCCACTCAGGTAGCTGCAAGCATGGCTGGGGTCATGTGAGCAGGAAGGAGAGGAAGGGCCCAACCACACTGGTCTAGTGGGGCATGGCAGGATTGAATTAAAATCGGAGGCTGTGGAGCTGGATCGTTGGGGTTCAAACCCTGACGCTGTGTATTATCTGCTGTGTGCCCTTAAGCAAAGAATGAACCACTCCGTGCTTCGATCTCTTCCCCTTATCAGATCCCTACCTTATTGGGAGCTGCGAGAAATGAAGAAGCTGAGTGGTGTTGAAGTGCTTGGTACGTAGTAAGTGCTTAGTAAATGTCAGCTGCCCTTATGGGCCGTGTTAAGGATTTTGGTCTCTGTTCTGCGAGCAATGGGGGTTACATTGATCAAGACCCTTTTGGTTGCAAAGAACAGCAACCCAACTCACACTGGCTTAAGCAACAGTAGGGGGATTTATTAGCTCCTGTAACTGAAAGATACGGGTTTAGCTGTGCCATCAGGCACAGCTGGGTCAAGGCATATAACATTGTCAACTGGACTTGGGCTATTTACTCGTCTTGCTTTCTCAAGAAATAACCTCATTCTCCAGCTTGCTGTCCCCACATGGTGGCAGGGTGGCCATTTAGCTACCATAGTGAAAGAGAGTGCCTCTTTCCTGCTTGTCCCAGGGCCACTCATGGAGGTCTGTCATTGTCTTGGCCCCCAGCTGGTACCCATTCTTGAACCAATCCCTGTGGCAGTGGAGGGGTGGTGTGCAGTGGGAAAAGAGGAATTGGTGGTGATTGACCAGTTATATCCCCAAATCTCCGAAATCACTGGCCTGAGGCTGGCAGGAGCAAGGCGTTCCACAAAGGAAATTGGACGGCTGTCGTCGAATCCAGGCAAACATAACCAGGGTCGAGTCAGAGAGCCACTAGGGGTTGTGAGCAAGGGAAAAGCAGGCCCTGATGTCCATCTTGAGATGACCACTCTGGTAGCTGAATGGGGGGAAGAGATAGGAGGAGGACAGAGTGGAGATGGTCACTCTATTGATGGTTGGCATCACGAGTCCAGGAGAAAGGGACAATGGCATGGCCAGCCTGGGGGCAGTGGAGCAGAGGGGTGAGAAAGGCGCACAGTGCCAAGGTGTGTTGGTAGACTGCGCAGCAATGGCCCAGGAAGATTCCGGTCTAGACCAGGGTTTTGGACTGAGCCCCTAGGACGGGGAGCTTGAAGGAAGGGCAGGTTTGGGGGAAGGTTGATACTTCAGCTTTGTAAGCGCTGCATCTGAAGAGCCTTGGGACACCCTTGGGGAGGAGTCCTAGAGGCGTTTCTTTGGGATGTGGAATTCCAAGGGCACTCTTGTCTGGTTCCTATGAAATATGAGAAGGAGAAGTAAGTTGAGTGATGTCTGGTCTGCCCAGGAGAATGTCCTAGAACCAAGGGTGGCCTGCTCTCCGGGAGGGCTGAGACAGGAACAACTTGCTGGGCTGTTTGCCGGGAACGGGTCCCTCAAACAGTATGTGTGAAGTCCAATCCCTCTCTTAAAAGTCAAAAAAACCTTTTGAAATCCTTAGGCAGCTAGGTAGTCAGTAGGCTGGGGCAACCAATGAATGTTGGTCAAACTGACAGGGTCCCAACCCACAGGAGCTGACAGTACAGCTGTGGTGAGAAAGGAGAAGCACGGGACGGCATGGAAGATGTCTGGGCAGACAGCCCAAACACAGCAGAGTGGCATGGCTCAGGCAGCAGAGGCCGGGGGGGGGGGGCTTCTGAGGAGAAGGGGGTTGATGCAGGGCTGGTATAATCTGGGGAGGCTTCCTGGAGGCAGAGCTGCAGCGGTATCAGTATTCTAGGCATAGGAAGACCATGACCTTAGGTGCAGGATGCAAGGCTTGGTTTGGGGTATGTCCCAGCCCACCCCAAAACAGCTGAGGCTGAGTTGCTAAAAACTTGCTAAATTGGACCAGGACACCAGGCCTCTCAGAGCCTCCCAGACACCCTGAGGTCTTCGAGTGAGGGCTCAGGACTCCCCAGCCTTCTACTATCATCTGGGGTAGAGCGACTGCTCCCTCCACATTGCCCCTCATCTTTCCCTACCTCTACAGCAGCTCTCAGCACCCTGCACTGCAGAGATTTCTCCATATGTGCCCCTCCCCTAAGCCTGCCCCATTCCCCAAGGCAGGGAGCCAGCAGGGAACACTGTCAACACCCAGTGTGCTCCCGGCTGAAGGAGGCACTTGGGGGATGTTAGGGATGGGGCAAATGACCCTTTAGAAGGGGAGCTACAGGCAGCTGGGAAAGGCCTGGCCTGGCACTTCGTGGGTGTGGGGAGGATGTATGGGGCCTGGGGGCTTGTCTGCCAGCTTCCCTGTCCAGGTCCTGTGGAAGAGGGGAGTGTGATAGGGCCATCAACCCAGCCTCAGTGGACCTGGTTGGCCCCAGAGCTGGCAGGCCCCAAGCTAGTGAGAGAGCAGGGGAGTCAGTTTCCCATCCATTAGGCCCATGGCCCAGGCTGCTAATGCCGAGCGGACATTCTGCTCTCATCCCTGGTATCCACTTAGGCATCGTTAATATTTTACACTGCATAGCCAGGGGATCGATGTCTCATTTATAGCTCAGTGTTTATGAGCAGCCATTGAAGCTTTCACGGGGAAGATGCTCAGGAACACCAGGGGAAACTGAGGCAGGGGAGCAGGGGTGGGCCAGCCTCAGGAGGACCCTCCATATGCCTTCCTTTGCTTGCCCAGTTCTCTGTTTCACACCTGGCACCCTGTACACACCCAGCTCCGAGAACACATCATAAGGGGCCATCAGAGCCTGTGACACAGGCCAGCCCTTGTCTCACTTGATCCCCTACAAGCCCCTGGAGAGGTGGGATTATCATCCCCATTTTAGGAAACAGGCTTAGAGAGGTTAATGTACTTTCCACCAGACCATTGATTGAGGATTGGTGGCAACTAGCTGGGACACAGGCTAGATTTTGCTCAGCACGTAAGTGTGTAAATTAGAGTGCAGGAGGCTCTTGAGCCTTTCCAGACTTACACACTTTAGCAACTCATGTGCTCCAACAGCGCCGCGTTTCTCGGGCGATCATTAGCATCTCTGCTTGGAACTCTTGCCTCTTTGGTCAGTGAAAACTCACCGCATGCCCACATAAATGCAATTGAAAGCTGTGCGTTTACAGTTCCTTAAAAATGTCTGCAATAACAGACTTTTAACTAAGGTGTGTTAAATAGTGAGATTGAACTACATAGGCCAGAAGACACCCGGCAGCCTCTCACCTCCGTTTCCACTGGAACCGTGCGTTAGGCTGCGTCAGCCTCTGCTAGAATCCGGGAGGCCTGCGCTCCACCTGTGCGTCTTCCCCAGTCCGTCCTCTAGCCCTCGGTTTCCTGAACTGTAAAATGGGGAAGAGAAACGCCCAGGGGGAGCCCTTAAGGATTACAAGTAAACCTAAAGGTTTGGCTCACGGACGCCAGCTCCAGAAGGACCCTCGGCCGGCCGTGCACGCTGGATTTCCCACCCCACCCGGGCGCCGAGCTCTGTGCCTGGGGAGCATCACCCGTTCAGTATTTGTCGAACGAATGACCGAGTGGGTGGCAGAGGTTCATAAATGGAAGCTACCATTTTTCAGACTCTAGGTCCAAACAGGCGTGGAGCGGGGCTGGATTTCCTAAAGCACCGGGCGAACTGAGGAACTTGGTGTTCACAGCAGCCCGCTCTTCCCGCGGTCTCAGCTGGGGGTTGGTGAGGACACCTGGGGAGTGCAGCGCCCGCCGGAGGGCAGCAGAGAGCCACGGCTTCCGCCCTCAGGTCCGGGAGTTCGGATACTTGGTGGATCCCGGGCTCCGCCCTGCCACGCCCCCACCTCTCCCCTTCCTTTCTCCTTCCTTTCCTACACATCGCCCCTGGGCAGGAAGAGAGCGATCCACAAACGAATTCGCACTCCCGTGCACTTGGCATCCGCTTAGCTCTTTCCCACATCCGGAAAGGCAGGCAGGCACCAGCCCCTCCGTGTGGAGGAGTCCGCAAGTCCGTGACTCGACCAAGGTCATGCAGCAAAACCAAGAGTGAAACTCAGTTCTGTAGTCTCTAATACCAAAGCCCACACTCCCTCCAAAAGTCTGGAGCGCACACGGGTTTCCAGAACTGGATAACTTTGGATACCAACTTTTCTATTTTCAACGGGCGGCAGACCAGGGCCAAGTTCAACCTCGAGCCGAGGGCTGATGGTGTGGGAAATACCCCAGGGAGAGAGGGCTTCCCCGATCCCCCGAAGGCCCGCTCTGCGCTGGCCCGCGGGGCGGTGAGCGGCGGAGGCCAGGCTCTGCACCCCTCCGCCAGGAGACTGGAGCTCCGACTCCCCGCACAGAGCGGCTCCCTTCCTCTCCGGCCTCCGGCCCCCCTCCCCAGCCACTCAGCCCCCACCTTGTACGGGCAGTTGGGTAAAACCACCGACCGCGCGGCCTCCGGGGGGGATGGCCGGGTGGCGATGGCTGTGCGCCAGGCTCGGTCAGGGGGCTGGGCTGTGAGGGGCGGGGCCACCTCCCTCCGCCCCTTCCCGGGCTCGCGCGGGAGGGGGGGGCGCGCCGGGGACGCCTCCCCGGGTGGTCGCCTTGCCTAGGCCAATGAGCGCGCGGGGAGCGATGGAGGCTGGGGCGGCCGGGAGCACCCGGGACCCCCGCAGCCGCCGCGCCCCCGTGTCGCCGCGCCCCCGTGTCCCCGCGCCCGCGGGGCTGGAGAGGGGGCGAAAGAGGCGCGGCGCCCACGCCGGCCATGGAGGCGTCTCTGGCCCGCGCCGGCCGCCCGAGCTGCGCTCCGCGCCGTCGCCGCCGCGCCTCGAAGTTTGCCGGCTGACTCGGAAAGTTGCGCTTGGGCTCTGCCGCCGCACCGCGTCCAACCTCCCGGCCTGCCCAGTTCGCCGCCGCCGCCCTTCGCGGGGCCTCGGCCCCGTCGACACCCGCAGCCCCGCCTGCCGGGGGATGTGAGCCGCGGCCTCCCCCAGAGGCCGGGCGGGCTGCACTGGCCCCGGCGCCTCCCGAGGCACGCGCGGGCAAGGGGCACGCCCCGGCCCCAGGCAGCCCGGGTCGCCATGGGCATCCAGGGCATGGAGCTGTGCGCCATGGCCGTGGTGGTGCTGCTGTTCATCGCCGTCCTCAAGCAGTTCGGCATCCTGGAGCCCATGTCCATGGAAGGTAACGCGTGGCCATCCGCCCCTCCGCCGGGGCCAGCAGTGTGTAGGGAGGGAGCAGCAGTCGCGCTCCCGGGCGCGGGTCTGCGGGGCCCCGCGAGGTGAGGCCCTCGGGCACTTTGCGCTCCGCGGCTCTGGCCTCCAGAGCCGCTGCCCCCTCCCGACTCCTGAGGGCTGGGCCTGGAACTAAGGGGATGGAGAGGCCTGGGGCTCCAAGGAGCACCGGAGGGGATGGACTGCGGCGCTAGGGTGGGCATGAGCGAGATGCCTGCTGACACCCTGAGCCATTCTAGGCCGGCAGGTCCGAGCCACCCCGGGTGAGCACAGCCGGCTTGGGCCGCCCGCCCGTTGGTGGGGAGGTGGCTCGGGGTGTAGATGACAGGAAGGATCCTCAGCCCAGGGTGCCTTATGATGGCGAATGATAGGAGACCTCAGCCACATCACGGGGGTTGCCCCTTTCGCCCCCTGCCCACATCCAGTTCCCCCTCCCTAGGCTCAGGCCCAGGGGCTCGGTAACCAAATCCTCGGCACCACATTTCTGTCCCAATAAAATATTAATTGAGGAGACAGACCTACTCTTAAATCAGACAGTGGGCAGTCACCCTGGGACCCCTGACCGGAGCCCTTCCAGCTGCTTCCCAACCTTTGGCACCTCCCTAAGACTTCTGGGCAGGTTAAGAGGAGAAGCCCCTTTAGGGCACACCCATTCTGAAGGGGACCTTGACCCCCCAGGGCTGTAACTTTCCCTTCCCCCCCCCCCCCCCAGATCCAAAGAGGCAGTTGCAGCCCAGTACCTCTGCACGGTGGGGCCAGCCTGTCCTGTTCTGTCACCTACACTCCCTTGCTGTCCTCTCAGAGGAGGACGGGCTTTCTGCCTGCCTCAGCACTCTGCTGACCTTGCCAGGCTCCAGCTCCTGGGACTGAAACTCAGAGACCCAAGCAGGAGAGGGAGGAAGAACCTGTCCTTGCCTCTGAACCACCCGGCGCCCCCCCCCCCGCCCCAGCCTGAGGATGTGCCCCCAAACTCCTCTGAGGGCAGGACAGGGCACAAGGGCTTGAAGCAAGGCCCTTCCTCCATTTTGCCTTCAGAGCCCAGAGCCGGCTCTTTACCTGAGGTCCACGGCTATGTGCCCCGAAGAAGCCATCAGGCTCCATCACACCTTTTCTAGGTGAGTTCGTGGGACCCAAAGAGAAGGGATGTGATCAAGGTGGTTCTGAGAGGTGCCACCTTGAGCTTTAAATTTTACTTGGAGAGGAAAATTGCCCACGCTGGGCCTGCACTTGTCTGGATGGTGACCCTGGCTGGGGAATCTATGAATGGGAAATGCCTTTGCTTGGGGTGAGATGGGGGATGAGCATCCCCTGAGGACCCGCGCCTCCCACAGGCCACTAGCCTATCCTGTATACCCTATCTTTTGCCCACCTGGAGTCTTCGGTGGGTGTGGATGGTGGTTGGTGCTCAGGGAAGCCATAGCCCCTACATCCATCTTCCCCATTTCCTGGACCGTTGTGGGGCCACCAGGGGCCAGGAGGACTAGTGGCCTCATTCTACTTGGTACTGCAAAACCTTCCTACCTGATCCCAACTCCCAGGTGTGGGCCTGTGAAATTTGCCTTGGTGACGTCTAAGGAAAAAGGGATTTCTTTGCAAGGTGGATAGTATGCCCGAGACTACCGACGCTTTATTCAACCTGCTAAAAAAAACCCCAAAAAACCCGCTTCAGGCTCGAACAGAGTGCCTCCTTTCTGGTACAGTTAGCCACCTGTGCCCTTTGGAGTTGTGGTGTCTTGAGGCGGTGGGAGGAGCGGAGCCTCCGTGTCCGCCAAATCTGAGCTGGGATCCTGCCACCCACACGTGCTGGCGGTCAAGCTTCCTTACCCTTTCTGAGCCTCGGTTTCATCACCTGTGAAGTGGGCCGTGGCAGACTTGTAACTAGTCAGTGGGGCTCTGAGGCCTCCAGCACCATTCTTGGCATGTAATAAATGTGCAAACTTTGTGAGCCGTTGGCATCACCAGTGATTAGCAATGGAGTGATTACTGGCACTAACAGGACTGATTCGTGGTTGAAGACATTCTCTCACTGAAACAGGCCTCCCTGCATCAGAGGGCGAGGGTTAGACGTTCCAGATGTTCCGTGTTGATGGGGAGTGATGTCCTTTAAGTGCCTGGAAGGCCCATTGGCCAGGCGGTGTCTAAGGGACTGTTAGATGGGGCTGCGTGTCGTTGTGTGTGTGTCTCTTGTCCCCCCTGAGCTTCCGTAGTTCCCATCTGTGAGACACCAGAGTTACAATGCCCCTGGGATTGTTAGGAACTAATAGATCTGGGTTCCAGGGATGCAGCCTTCTAGAAGTAGCTGCTGAAGCTGAGAGGTCCTCTGTCTGTCCTGAGTCTCCTGTCAGTGTGTGTCTCTGGGTGACTCCGTGGGGGGAGTCCCAGCCTCGTCTGGCCACTAGCTTACTGGGTGACTTTGGCGCCTTTAACATTCTTGAGCCTTAATTTCCTCATCTGTAGAATTAGGATAAAAGCATGTTTTCCCCTACCCGCTTCCCAGGGGTGTAGTGAACTAAAGCACTTTGGAAAAGTTAAAAGCAGAATTCAAACCTAAGGGACTCCAGGGGTAGGGCACACCAGTAAAAAGTGACCCTGGGCTGGTAATCCTTGGTGCTTGTTTGCAAGCCTAACACCAGACCTTTTTGTCCACATCTGTGCCCCAAACTTGACTTTGGCTGCCGTGTCTCTTCTCGCAGTCCGGATTTCCTAAGTTCTAGACTCGTAGCTCTCAAGCTGAAGGCAGTGTGGCACCGCAGTGGCCATCTGGTGATGTCGGAAGACGTTTTTGATTGTCGCAACTGAGGAGAGAGTGTTACTGGCATCTAGTGGGTAGAGGCCAGGAATGCTGCTGAACATCCTGCGACGAACAGGACGGGACCCACGAGAAAGAACGATCAGGCCCAAATGTCAGTAGTGAGGTTGAGAAGCCTTTCTCTGGAAGGAGCAGTAGGGGCTAGGTGGCCAGGGCCTAGCACAGCTGCTTTTCAGCCCTGACTTCGTCACTGACATGCTGTCATTAACTTGGAAAAGTCCCTCTTCCTTTGTGAGCTCTGTTTCCTCGTCTATAAGTGGGGCATTGGATTAGAGGCACCATCTCCCCTGGGAACTTTCCCTGACCGCTCTGGCCCCCTGGCCCTTGGGGTTGTGTTAGGTGACACTGTTCTGAAATTTTCTGTGTCCCCGTCCCCACCCCATATGGCCTTTCCAACGGTGTCAGTGACTTGCGTCGATACACTTATGGCCCCAAAGCGTGCCCAGCACTGCCTGGCAAACAGCAGGTGTTGAGTAAGTATAAATTATATGCCGCGATCACCACACATTTAGTGAGCACTCTTTGTATGCCAGGCAGTATGAGGCCACCAGGAGCACAGGTGATGCAGGGGCTTGGCCCTCTCTTTAGGACATCCCTGGGCAGGTGCCCTCTGACGGGAGACCCCTCTGGCTGGGGAGGGGACAGGGAGGCTGAATTGTGACATGGGAGTATAGGCGTGTGAAGAGACAGAAGTGTGAAGGGGAGAATCAGGGGCACCCAGATGGAGGTGTGCACGGCCTGACCCACTGCCCCTGCTCTTCCCTCTTTGAGGTGGCCTCGCAGCCCTGGCTGACAGAGGCGGCCTGGGAACTTGCCGGGTCCACAGCGGCCTCTTGGCTCTGAGCAGGCCGGAGGGGTGGCCATTACTCCTACTCTTCTCTTGCTCTGTATCTCCACCCAGCGCCCTCTGTTGCCTTTGCCGGGGGCCAGCCGGCACTCTCCGTACCCCGGCTGGCGTCCTCCTTGGCAGGGTCTGCCACCCTTTGTAAATTGTCTGTTCCTCGGGACCCCTAGGCAGTTTCCAGGTCTGAGGCTGACGACAACGACAGCAGCCCGCATCTAGTGAGTGCTATCTTTGGGCATCTCCTAAGTTTGTCCCCAACAGCAGGCCCACTCTGTAGATGAGGAAACTGAGGCTTGGGGAGGGTAAGTAACTTCACTGAAGTTATCCAGCCAAGGAGTGGCAGAGCCAGGACCTATACCAACTCTGGCACGCCTGTCCCGGATGCGTCTCTAACTCCGCAGGGCCAAGGAGCCACGGACACGTCCTTGCCTCTTACAGTGAGGGCGCCAGCAAGGCAGAGTGGAGGCAGCTGCCTGGGTCCAGATCCAAAGTGGGCAAAGCCTCCTTCATCGAGCTGCTGTAAGGACTAAATATGCGCCTGTGTGTAAACTCTCGTAAAGC